ATAAGAAATATCGTAGATCATGAAAAAATAATTAATGTATCATTGACAATAAATCATCTGTGTTCTGGAAAATACCATAATATTTGTAAGAAAAATAACGAGTGAAATCTTCTCTTTTTGAGAGTTTTACAAATAGAAAAAAATTAACCTTCAGAACTTGTATATTCTGTGCATATAATCTTTTAATTAACACATACATTTACTGTCATTTGTTTTTGTTAACTAAACCAATGAATGGGTCATATATAGTTCATAAGTTCATACGTGCCAAAAAAGAAGAAGTTGATACATACTTGCTTTGAGACTTCTACAGTTTGTTACAACTTAATCGTCTTTTAAATGTAGAATCATATTCGAATTCAAATCCTGCAGGAAAATGTAATATATCCCTTTGCAATGCATGGTCTAATCAACTCAATAAACATAACACTTTTTTTAGAAAACATAATACTTAATTATGTTACCTTACATTCTACTTTCTCCCCAAACTCTATATGTACGGTATATTTTTTACTTTGTAACAAAGTATAATATTCAATCTCCAAACTCTACCTCCATTGATAATATCTCCATAGTATTACAATATTTTTTGTTACTATTATAAATACCATATGTACGATACAAACAATAAAGATACTCTAATTCGCATTTAGAAATGATCACTTAAATAGTACATTGGAGATAAACCGAAACGGGGTAATGAAAAGGTCTTAGATATCACAACAAAACAATCATATCATGTAACAGATAATCTTGGAGAAACAATAGTTCTTCTTCATGCTTATCTTAAACTCAGCAAATTTGTGTTCTCAAATTAGAGCTCAGATTCAGAATTCTTACGCGGCTTCTTCACATGGCCCTCAAAAACACCTGACTCTAATTTACCCTTAAATTCCTCGTTGTTGACAGGACCAGGAAGCTTGAATGTGATGGTGAACCGACCGGGAGGGCACAAGTTCTGTGATAGCATCTTGAAGACCTGTGAGTGTCTGCACACTATCTCCTCTCCCGTTGTTGTTGTTCCATTTATCACAATTTGCCCGTCCTCCGCAATATCGCATGTGAACTCCTCTGTATGTTGGACAACAACAATTCAGATTTACAAAGAATATAATATATATATTTCGTTAGAGTATAGTCTTCATGATCGTCTAAACATGCTAATCAAAGTATTTACCACCTCCTCAAAATCCAACTACATATTCTTGAGATTATGGTTTTCAACTCAAAACCAGTTAGCAATGGATATAGAGAGCAGTATCCCTAATATACTAATGCTAAATTATCTCATTTACGACAGAATATAAATATTCTAAATGCAGTTGCTATTTATGATTACCATTTACTCCTAAACAGAATTTAGACATTTTTACCCGATGGTCGAGTGTTCAACTCTTAAAGTTGTCATTAAAAATGTTTAAACTTTGCGTAAATTACAAAAGATTTCATCAAAACCACATTAACAGTAACAGACACATGGGATGATAGGAGACTTACTTTCTTCGCATGAAACACCAGGCAGCGAAACACGGAAAAAGTAGGAGTCATCAGATTCGAAAACATCCATCCGACCAATGGTCGGTCCAATTGCACCTAAAGCCGCACTTCCGGTGAGGACAACTCCAGTCTTGGTTTGAGCAGCAAGGTCTTCAACTTCTTGACTTGAATGATTAGGCAGAAAAATCATGGCAGGCTCTGATTTTTCCACTTGACCCTTAGATTTGTTGGTTGAGCTGGAAGCTGTATAAGAACTTGATGGACCGACATAGGGCACACTGTTTAACGGAGCCACGAAAAGGACTGGCTGGTTAATGTTACTGTTTCCGGGTAAACCATCGTTGCCAATCTTCTCGTTGTTCCCACTTGAAGACGTATAAGAGCTTGATGGACCGACATAGGGCACACTGTTTAACGGAGCAACGAAAAGNNCTGGCTGNTTAATGTTACTGTTTCCGGGTAAACCATCGTTGCCAATCTTCTCGCTGTTCCCACTTGAAGACATGAATATATAAAGACGCTTTAGTTAGGTTCAATAAGTAGCTGAATCGTGAAACCACAAAAAGGATAATAACAAGGCTTTGAAATAATGGTGACAATTAGCTTCATCAGCAAAAAGACCACGAGGGTTCTTTTGTGAAAACCTAATCTTTAAAATGTTTTATCATGCATAAAGAAACCACACATCTTCAAAACCACCATCGTAACAAACACAAACACAAGCAATGCAGATATAGATGGCGTGTACTTGATCATACGATAATAATACCTTTCTTCAAAACAAATAATAACCTTAAAAACAGCATACGTTCTCAACATTTTCGATCCCTAGCTAGCGTAAATCAAAAACTATGAAACTATTAGTAAATAATGTCATGATTCTTCCATGGCCTCAAATTTAGTTGTGAACAAGGGTTTTGCTACTAAATGTTTTTTTTTGCTAAAAAATCTCTTTCGTTAATCAAACCCTCTATTTGTTCGCATCATATCTGCTTAACCAACAAAACCCTCAAAAACAGACACTCGTATCATCAAATCTTACACCATTTCGAAATTCAAATCAAACAAAGAAATTACAACAATTATCCGAATCATTTTGATACTCTCATGAACGAATCTATATATTCATCCACGCAAAATCCTAAGAAATTTATATCACCAACTCTGACCACAAGTTTATACGTAGAGAAATTATGTTGTAAGAGTAACAAATTAAGCAAAACCTCATATCGAAAGCGCAGGAACGTGTCACCGGTTGTTTCTGACACCAGAACTATCGGACGAGGCGTTGTTTCATGTGAGACAGGATAAAGACAGTATAAGAAGATTTTGTGAAAAGCCACGTGGTCCAATAAGTATTCAGAGTCGTGGTCAATAAGATATCAAGAGGTGCCTATTGGTTCTTTTTGCAAACAAAACAAAAACCTGATTTTCTTAAGTCAATTAGCAAAAATCAAGATTCGATTTAGGAAAATGGTCAAAATTCAATATTGTCCACAAAATATATCCTAAAATTATAAGATAGCGGTTTGACTAGAAACTATATATAAACCCTAAGAAATAAAATGTTTTGTTTAGGGTGGACAAATTAT